TGCAAAGCTTCCACCTACCCATGTGTCTGTATTCTTCAGGAAAGGCACAAATTTGGATGAGGAGAAGCCATGAGGGGAAATCCTCTGAAACAATAACAAAGGCAGAGAGTGGAGACAAACTCTTTCAGGACCCACAGGAGACAGAATAACTTTTGCCTGGGGAATACTCATCTCTGGACTCTCTGCAGTGTGCCAGGAATAACCTAAGGCTGAGGAAATATATGCTGTTACTGAAAGATTTAGGGAGGCAAAGGAAAAAGGACAGAAGGGAGGAACAGCATGTGGAGGAGAGAGTCCTGCGTGGGCTGTGGAGAGCTGATGAAGTCAGGAAAGGAAAGCACAGGAAAAGGTGGGTTCTCCCAAAGTGGTGAACAGTATTACCTCAGAAGTTAACTGAAGAAATGCATACAATGCTACATGCTTTAACCCATGATGCACACACACTCCTTGTGCAAAACTGTTGTGGCTTTGTTCAGGGAGTCATTTTAAACAGCTGCTGTCTGAGGTTTATTGGAGTAAACTGAACACAAGTTGTTAACCCAATTCAGTTATTGTGATGTGTTTTTTAAATTGCTTTTACATTCAGAGCTAGAAATGCTGAACTTGATCCTGCCTGGATCAAGTAAAAAAATCCACAACCAGATGCCTGACTTCCCTACAGAAAGCAAAACCCTAGAGAACCTTAAGGGCAGACTGGAACAAAGGTGTCAGCAGACAGTAAGCTCTGTGGGGAGAGGAGCTTAGGGCCATACTGGCTTTTTAGTAATTCCTTCACATGCTGAGCCTGAGCACAGATGGTCAGTTCAAGAGTTCAGCTGTTAGAACAGTCTCTGGTATCCCCCTGGTATGGGACAACCTGCCTTCTCCTAAACCATCCTGATCACAGCCCAGGAGGCAGCACAGGCCAGCAGCCACTTCTACTGGGCATTCTGGATGTAGCAAACCTCATTTGGAGGACAGGGGAATGTAATGGTAGAGACATAGCCAGATACTGCTTAGTCAGCCTCTGCCAAGGCACACTGGCATAGCTGAGCTGACTAGTGTTGATGCTGCTCCAGATTCCTGTTTCATACAGCTCACCTCACTCCATGCCAATCTCTCCTCAAACAACTGGCAAATTGCACCTTTTTCCATTGCAGGATTTTCAGCAAAAAAAACCTGTCAAGACTACTATAGCTGCAAGTGAGTCGCCTGTCCAACTTGTGGTTGTCTTCCATGCCTTGCCCCTCAGAGGATCAGCCTCTTTCAGATCTAGTAGTCCAGCTCCTTTCATTCCTGAAGGCATTCCAGCTGGAGAACTCCCTGCAATTCTGACTAGCCAGACAGTACTATTTTGCAATTTACGAGGAAAATCCTTTAAAAGACAGCAGTGTTAAAAGACACTGCATCTCTAAAAACCCAGGTGTACTGCCAAAGTGCCATGGTAGCCTACTAAGGACTTAAAAATATGTATCTGCAAATGTTCAGATAGATGAATTTAAAGAACAGGGCTAAAAGAGTGATGACAAAGATAAGTCAATATACTTAACATTGTCCATATGATGTGGAGTTAAATATGGACCTGATTTTCTACTTATAAGGGAATTAAAGCATTTTAACAAACAAATATATGATGATTGTGGCTTACCAGAAAAAAAAAGGAAAAAAAAGAGATGCTAACTTAAAAAAAACCCGTTTGCTACGAGAGCCTTACTCACAGTGCTTACAGTGCTAACCGAATGAAACAGGGATAAAAATGTGCCACTGCTACAAAAGTGAGCATATTATATTCATTTCCTTATGCACAGCTGACATCAAAGGATCATCTTACGCTGTATCAAGAGTCTGTTCTTACATGACCTGTATGTTTGGTCCAAAGCTGAAATCATTTCTACAAATGTCCATGAAAACTTGCAGAGTAACTGGTGACAATACACTGGAATGACAACTCTCCAAACTATCAAGAAAGGCAGAGGGTAAAGAAGACAAAAACACATTTAAAATGAATATCAACATTGCATCCCACAAATCTAACATAATTTTAAGCACCTTTTATTCTAGGAAGAGCCAGGCTTAGGGAAAAGAAAAGAGAAGGAGAAAAGGTGATAAAAGCTGAAAACTTAATCAGAAATATGTATTATGCTTCTTGATATGTTCCTGATTTGGACAAGGGAAAAAACAGTCTTTCTGTTGCTAACAATCCCAAGATCACTCTGCTAACACAAAAAGAAAGCTTTGAGGCACGAGAATCATACGGTAGAGAAATATAAAGTTTGTAGACTACCATTTATACCCACAAAGCTGAAAAGCTGAATTGGCAAGTGAGCTGTCCACCGGACAGCAAAGAGCAGCTCAGACACAGCCTTGAATGTGAGAATCAGCACAACTGTGATGTCACCTCCAGGCAAAAGGAACGAGGCCATTATGAGCTTCCACCCGGATGATCACCAGCAATACAAAACCAGAAAAAAAGGCCCTACTTTAGGTTTTTATCCCTACGGCCAGTATATTTAACTGGCTATCGGG